ATCGATGCCTTGCCGCCTGCTCCACCTGGTGTGCACCGTATTGACCATGCTCTTAATTGCTTGCCCACTAATGCCTCTGCCGGTCCTCCTGATTTCTGGCCTGCTCTACTGAACCTCCTGTATGCTATCGATTGCCTTGTGCATCCTCTGGCTGTCATTGCTCCGGATCCAGATCCAGCGTCTCTTTGGTACTCCAGTACTGGTTGATCTGACAGGGATGAACATGTTCCATTGTTGTTTTCTACGTGCGGCTCCTCGGTGGTAAGTCATTATCAAAGTTCCCATCCGTTGGTTGTCCCTCGAGATCCTCAATGTGAGCACCACTAGTCTCCATGTCCTGTACTCTTGTCACTGCATTTTTTGTCCCTTTGAAAGTGCTCTGGAGGGGTTTTTTTAGTTACTTGCTCTATATTTGTTCTTGAAGTTAGGCTATGATCACATCGAGTGCCCATTAAATTTCTTATAAATAAAAACAATCTTTAAACTGAGCTACATCCCCTACGCATCTGCTGCCCGTAAAGGTGCTCAACATCGTGACCCTGCCCGTACTACCAAGCGACGTCTTGCTGCAGGTCGCATGTTCCAAACCACCACCACCAAAGGTCAACAAGGATACCAGTATGTGTATCTAGGCCGCTCTGGTAAAATCCTGCGCTCTGAGGTTCGTTACCAACTTCGCCGAGCTGGTATTGATACTGGCCGTGTGTTAGACATCTGTTTCCCTGCCACTGGCGTCATTGGCATCTTGCTCCACATCCAATATGTAGAGGAGTTTCTCGCCTGTATGCGCAAATGTGAAGCTGATCACATTGAAAACTTTCAACCCTTGGATCCCAACAACATTGCTGATCCCAAATATGCTGATCTTGCCATTGAAGAGCGTGAGCAATTGATCTATGAATTCACCAACACCCGTGCTCTGCAAACCCTCTCTTTCCTTCGTCCACTCAACGTTAGTGGCGTTGGCAAATACTTTGTCTCTGCTGGCTGGATCTCTCAAGAAGAGCTAGATATAGCCGTCTCTGAAGCTATCGGTCGTCTTGCCGAGAAGGAGCCCAAAAAGGCTAAATTCTTGTTCAAGCGTCAAAAGGAAGATCATGACAGCAATGGCTCTGCTATGGAACTCTAATGAGTAACATAGCTACTAGTCATACTCCCAATAACAACCCAGTCCACTCCTTTCAAGTCTCTCTCTCCCTTTGGAATGCCAATGGTCTACGTCAATCAACGGTACATGATGTCCTCCATCATGTTCAGAACACTCATGTACTGCTTGTCACTGAAACCTGGCTGACCTCTGGTTCTTTCCCTACTAACTGGTCTCAATTCCACCTCTATGGCTCTAAAGTACCTGGTGCATTTAACCGTGGTTCTGGTGGCATTACTGCCTTTGTCTCTCCTTCCTGTCCTTTCTCTGTCTCTCAACTTCCGTCTTACAATGCACACACTTTGTCCCTTAAGGTTGGCACCCTTACGGTTCATTGTGTGTATCTGCCTCCACCCTTATCTTCGGATAAGGTGCTCTCGCTTCTTCGCTCGTTACCCGTAACCGGTGATACCATCCTTTGTGGTGATTTCAATGCTCGCTTTGGATCTCTACTGGGTGATACTAATGCTAATCCTCGTGGTACCTCACTACTTCCATGGCTGGAGGAGTCCTCTTTTTCCATTCTCAATGAGTCTTTAGCATTTGGTACACCCACATTCACAACTTTTCGACGTCAACAAGAGGTTCATAGCATCATTGATCTGTTTCTTACAAACATTGGCGAGGCTGCTCTGTTACATCCTCAACTGGTGGTTGAATCTGATCTGTCTCTTGGCTCTGATCATCGGCTGATGGTACTTACTTTCGAGTATGTGCCCCCTCCTGATGATACTCTTGGTTCTGGTAGCTCTGGTGGTTTGGCCCCTAGACGGCAATGGAAGCTCTCGAAATTGAGGAAAAAGCGGCCTTTGGGCTTGCTTCGTGAATCCTTTCGATCTTCTGTTGCTCCTTTGGTTGGTTCTCTCTCTGGTTTGGTGTCTGCTCCTCCTGGTGTTTGTCCAGATATTGATGCACTCAACGATTCTTTGAATCAATGTTTGTATGAATCTCTGGATAGCTCAATTGGTGTGAAATCTGGTCGTCCTGGCCACTGGAAAAAGTACTGGACACAGGAAATTGAGGATGCTGCTCGTGAAAGAGATACTATGTATAGTAGATGGAGGTGGGCAAGTCGTTTTGCCAAAGTCGAAACATGGAATCTCTATCAAGCTGCTCACAGGCGTTTTCGTTCTCTTGTACAAGCTGCTAAGCGTCGATCGTGGAATCAGTTTTGCTCTGATTTAGAAAAGGACTTTTCGAAAGCCACTGCTGCAATCAAGCGCATTAAAAGAAACAAGGAATGCTCTGCAACGTACAGTCATCCAGACGGTCCAACTGCCTCTGTCAACACAATGGCGTCCCATCTTGCCTCAGTCTATGATGGCTCTTTGTTGAATAATGCGTCTCGCCCTACTGCTCCCCAAGTGAACAACTCTGATTTGCCTTACGCTGTGCCTACTGATCTGTCTCTGTTTGATGCTGATATACTTGTCGCTCTCATTAAGCGTTTGCCAAATGGGAAAGCTCCTGGTCCTGATCATCTGAAAGCTGAAATGCTGAAGGCTCTAGCATCTGACATTGCACCCGTATTGTCTCTGCTCTTTACACTCTGCTCTCAGTGGTCGTATACACCAGCTCTATGGCGACATGCTCAAGTCTTTCCCATTTACAAGAAAGGTGATGTATCTGATCCTGCAAACTTTCGTCCAATTTCGCTTACTTCGGTGATGCGTAAATTGTTCGAATTCTCTCTGATGCCTGCTCTTGATGAACATTCGCCTGCACTTGATGTTGCTCAAGGTGGTTTTCGCCCACAGCGTAGTCCTCTGGATCAAGCCCTCTGTTTACATGACTTGATGCACGACTACTTCCTCACCCACCATCACTATCCTGTGGTGGCTTTCCTGGACATCAAGTCAGCGTATGATACCGTGGATCGTCGAGTGATTTGGGATGCTCTCTCTCGTTCTTCTCTGCCTCGTTCAGTTCTCAGTTTGCTCATCCACATGTTCGATGATGTACTCGTGTCTGTGTTGATTGCAAATCACACCTCTGTTCCCTTTTCGCCTGCTACTGGCGTATTGCAGGGTTCAGTGCTCAGCCCTCACTTGTACTCTTTGTACATCAACTCTCTGCCTGCTCTTCTTCGTTCTGCTGTCAGTCGCGGTACTATGGTATCACCACCTGGGATGCCTAGTGTTTGCGTGAATAGCCTGCTCTTTGCTGATGATGTAGCCATATTTGGCTCTCGTACTGATGTGCAAACCATGTTGGATGTCGCTTCAGATCACTCGTTCTCTCTTGGCTACAGATGGAAACCATCAAAATGTGCTGTACTTTGTGCTCCCACTGCCTCTACTCGTCATCCATTGTCCCTATACGGTGAACCTCTTCCTGTGGTAGAGGAATTCACGTATCTTGGTATGCCGTTTAGATATAAAGGTCTGTATGCCCCTGGGATTCTCAATCTGCGTGCTTCTGGTGCTATCAAGACAATGGCATTGTTGAATTCGGTTGGTGTCAATCGAAATGGTTTTTCTCTGTTGCTTTGTGCTCGTTTGTATAAAAGCTTTATTCGACCCAAGCTGGAATACGGCTTAGCAATATCGCATCTCTCTTTCCGTGACTTCAAGGCTCTTGATGCTCTGCAAAATCGATTGGTTGGTATGTTTGTTGGTAGTACATGGTACAATGTTGCCAAACATTTGACCTGTATTCCCAGCATGAAGCATCGATATAATGTCCTGGCAACACGTTATGCTCTTCGTGCTGATACTCTCCCTGATGATTGCTTGTTGGTTCTGCTTCGTCGTGGCTTACTGTACACTCGTCTAGACAGATTTATTTGTCAAAACCCGTTGTATCTGACACTACCTGATCCGCCGCCATTCACCACTGCTGGTCTTACTGAAATCTTTGATTCGTATTGGCAAGATCAAGTGGATCGTCAACTTGCTACCGCTGCTGCTACTGGTGCTCAGACTCTCCTTCGTGCTTGTCGTCCGTCTGTCTCTCGTCCAGATCCCATTCTGTATCTGCCTATTGGTCGATCTGCTCGTAGTCGTCTTGTGCGGTGGCGTCTTGGACGTTTCACCAATATGCGTGAAGAATGTCCGTGCACTACCGGTGAGTTTATCTCCCGAGATCACTTTCTGACATGTCGCGCTCTGGACCGTACCTTTTTTGATGCTTTGCCACCTGCTCCACCTGGTATCCATCGCATTGATCATGCTCTGAACTGTCTTCCAGACAAAGCTTCAGCTGGTCCACCGTACTTTTGGTCTGCTTTGCTCCTTTTGTTGCATGCCATTGATTGCCTTGTGCATCCTCTGGCTGTGATCCCACCAGATCCAGATCCTGGATCGCTCTGGTTTTCTGCTCATTGATGAACGTTTGTTGTTTTTGCTTTCTCGGTGCGATGCCACGGTGGCAAGTAATTATCAAAGTTCCCATCCGTTGGTCATTCCTCCAGATCAAATCAACAATACCAGTATTCATGCCGCTCCTTTGCCACTACCACACTTTCCTTTTCCCTTTTTCTTAGTTAGTGTCCCCATAAGGGTTTTTTGTACCTGCTACTCTTTTGTTTCTAGAATTCTAGGCTAATGCTCCCATCGAGTGCCCATTGAATTCATGTATATAATAAAAATCAACGTTAAACTGAGCTACATCCCCACCTTTCTTTCCGCTAACCAATTTTTTTAATACATTGAAGCCCAGTAATATTGAAAAAATTGACCCAACTCTACAATTCCATACAATACATAGCAAGAACATCATTCCAGACGACACCAAAGTAAACCAGGCATTAAGCTGTGCGTCCTCTCTTTCTCCAGGTCAAAAACGGCCAAGTTCCTCAAGATCTCCACCTTTTTTCGCTGTAGATTTCACTCAACAGTTGAAAACAAAGAAAATGACATTCACTCCAACCTCTCATCAGCACCATCATCCACAAACATCAGTTGATATCATCAACATTTCTACTGATTTTGGACCAACAACTCCTCCATCTGCCTCTCCAGCGAGTGAACAGCAACTTTCAACCTTTATGATTGAGGTTCGAAATCGCTTAGCTCGTCTGGAAACCGCCCATGTCGAAATTGAGCGGTTAAAAACAGCCCTGGCAGAGTCTGAAGCTGCTCGTCACGCTCTCGAAGCCCAACTTGCAGCTGCTACTGGTACTACAACTAGCCTGGCTCCCAAACCATCATCATCCCACCCACCTCCTGCCACTACTACCACCACAACAGCACCAACATCAACTACATGCACCAATGCTACCTCTGCCACCTCTTCGTCTCCAGGAAATCAACCATCTTTTGCTGCCGTCGTTGCATCTAATACAGGTGCAAAGCGTAAGAAGAAGCCTGCTGCTCGTCCTCCTCCTCCATCTGCCACCAAGGCATCCGCTACTCTTGCTCGTCTTTTTGCTCCTCAAAGTGATATACCATCTGGTTATCAATTTGTGTACTATGCTACTCCTGTCCGCCGTCGTCTTTCTGAGCTGCGTCGCCTTGTTCAAGGCGTAGGATTGAATAACTCTCGTGTGCTGGATATTCAATATCCTGTACAGAATGTGATTTCTTTCCTTGTTCACAACGACTATGTTCTCACCCTCACCAAAGCCATGCATCTCCATGGTCGTGGCTCTTCTCGTTGATTGACTTTGATCCATGTGATCCAGTCAATCTCAAAGATCCCAAATTTGCTTCTCTCTCTCGTGATCTGCGTGTCCAAAAGGCCATTGAGGTCGAAAACCTTCGCTGCCTTCGTTCGCTGTCTTTTGTCCGTCGCTCTGTCCGTGTTTCTGTTGCTCGTTCTTTTCTTTTGTATGATCGCATCAACCAAGCCCAATTTGATGCCATTTTGAAAGAAGAAATGCTTGCTCGTTCCTCCTCCTCTGCTGCTGCTAAACCACCATCCCGATCCTCTGATCAAGAGCGTTTAGCCAAGAAACAACGTTTGAGTTATCTTGGCTACCTCTTGCATCATGATGCTGAAACTGCCTCTCTTTTGGCTTATGCTGTCTCCCCCACTCTCTCTGCTACCAAGGATCTTGAAATGTCAGAGCCTTCTGAAACTGATTGACACCTTGCTGTTGAAATCGTTTTGCTCTCTCATTCCCACTCTCGTTGTTTCTGTTTCTGCTGCCTTTATGGTAGTGTCTGTATTTACTTTGTCCTCCTTCTCTGCTCTTTCTCGTTTGGTCTTTGTCTCTCTGCTCATTTTGCTATATGCAAATGCCTCGTTTTCTCCTTTTTTTCTTGCTTTTTTTGTGCCACTGAGGTCTGTGGGTTTATTTTGTCTGTGCTGCTGTCTGAACATCGAGGTATCCTCAATTGCATGTCTCATACACCATAGCTTCTTATTCTCTACCCTTTTATCTCACTTGTTTTACTCCTTTTTCCTGCCTGTACTTCTTTTTTACCAGTTTAATTTTAGTTTAGGACCTTTTTTCCCTTTTCTGGACACTTGCATGTTGTTCCTGCATGGAGATCAAACTATCAATTTAAGCTTTTTTGCTGTACGTCGCTTCTCAGGACTTGCAACTAATGATCCAAAGATCGCATGCATATAAGTCTATATTTTTTACTTTGCTAATTCATTGTAATCAATAAACAACCATAAATTTTCGCCTGAGCTACATCCCCCTCGTCCAGATCCCATTCTGTATCTGCCTATTGGTCGATCTGCTCGTAGTCGTCTTGTGCGGTGGCGTCTTGGACGTTTCACCAATATGCGTGAAGAATGTCCGTGCACTACCGGTGAGTTTATCTCCCGAGATCACTTTCTGACATGTCGTGCTCTGGATCGTACCTTTTTTGATGCTTTGCCACCTGCTCCACCTGGTGTACATCGCATTGACCATGCTCTGAACTGTCTTCCAGACAAAGCTTCAGCTGGTCCACCGTACTTTTGGTCTGCTTTGCTCCTTTTGTTGCATGCCATTGATTGCCTTGTGCATCCTCTGGCTGTGATCCCACCAGATCCAGATCCTGGATCGCTCTGGTTTTCTGCCCATTGATGAACGTTTGTTGTTTTTGCTTTCTCGGTGCGATGCCACGGTGGTAAGTAATTATCAAAGTTCCCATCCGTTGGTCATTCCTCCAGATCAAATCAACAATACCAGTATTCATGCCGATCCTATGCCACTACCACACTTTCCTTTTTCCCTTTTTCTTAGTTAGTGTCCCCATAAGGGTTTTTTGTACTGCTACTCTTTTGTTTCTAGAATTCTAGGCTAATGCTCCCATCGAGTGCCCATTGAATTCATGTATATAATAAAAATCAACGTTAAACTGAGCTACATCCCATCTCTTTTCCGTTTTTCATCACTTTTGCCACCTTCCCCCGGTAAAAAGTATTTCCTCACTATAAAAGCGGTTTATCTCGACAACAAACACTC